TTTGCATTTGGGACATGGTTGAGCTACATGGCCAATCTGATCCTCACTGTTGAAACAATCAACATTCATTTGGCTAAGCTCCGGGCAAGTGTCTGAAGATAGTTGTTTGATTTTCATGCATGTTGTACGAAGTTTATACGCGTTGCCGATGCATTGTCTATGCATCTTCTATGCACGTGTTCATGCATATTTTGAAAAAGCAAGTAGAAAGCGCGTAGAAACCCAGGGAAAGTGCATAAGAAATGCGTAGATAATTCATAAGAGTCAAAAATGCATAAAAAGTGCATGCACAAGTGCATAGGACATACATAGAACACGCATAGAAAACGCGTAGAACACGCATAGACAATTCATAGAACACTCATTGACCAACCATACGTAGAAAACTCAGGACATTCATGGAAACATACAAAGCACAGGACATTCACATAGGTTCTAGGATGTATTGAGGGCTGCTACATGACAGACATGCACGCACCATGTGCTCTATAAATTTGCTGCCAACGGCATGGGCGCATTTGCGAACTAAGAGGAGGGCCAGCAAATGTACAACAACCAAGGACCGCAAGATTCAATTTCAACAGGTGGGAGTGTGAGATTAAGCCTTGGCAATTCTAAAATTTAAAATCACCAGTGCTAAGTTAAGTACTGGAAACCGAAGATTCAGTCTCGGCAATACTAAGTTTAGGGTTGGCAGCGCTAAACTAAGTTCTGTAAATCTAGGAGTAAGTCTTTACAATATCAAGTTTAAGTAGGGGACAGTCCCATTCTGGGACATTCGCATGAAAATTCGAGGAATTTCGAGGACGGCTTAAAAATCACAAAAGAACGCAGTAAATGCAAAATTTAACAGAAACAAAAATCAAAAAACAACATGCCAGCAACCAATTCCCAAATGGATCTCGTTTGAAGCTACAAGGTGCAAACTCAAAAAAGCATGAGCGCTCAAACACATGAGAAACAAAAACACAAACATGATGAGATTTCGAGCTTTCTTGTTTTCTCCTTGAGTTGTCAGGTTTTTGCGAATTTTCGGGTTGCTGCTTTTCCGGATTTGTCGCGCCAGTTGTGTTTTCCAGATGTTTTGCATTTTTGCGTTTTTTGTTGAATGTTTACGCGTTGCGTTTGTCGTTCAAATGTTTATGTGTTTTTTCCGAGTTTTGAGTTTTGAATGTTGGTTTGTGTTCTTTGAGCTTTCGCGTGTTTCGCACTTTTCGATGTGTTATTCACAATGTTTGCCGTGTTGTCATTGGATGAGCCTTGGCGTTTGCAAGTTTCATCCCCAATCCCACCCAATTACACGTTACTATGCTTAAGTAAACTTTAGAGCCTCCGGCTCAGTCCACCAACATTGTCCTCTCCCTTTTCTCCTTCCTCTCTTCCTTGTCTCCCTTGTGTGTTCTGTCGTCCTCTCTCCCTCCCTCTGCTCCCATCCTCCCCATCCCCCCAAGCCTCTCTCTCCCCAATCTCCCTCTCTGGTATGTATGCATGCATGTACATAAGTATGTATGTATGCATGTATGTATGTATGTATGTATGTATGTATGTATGTATGTATGTAATGTAACATAATGTAAAATAAATAGAAATCATAGTAATGTATGTATACATACATGTAATACAATACAATATAATATAATATAAATAATATTATATTAATATAATATAATATAATATAATATAATGTATATAATATATGTATATGTATGTGTGTGTATATGAATATGTGTATATGTGTATGTATGTATAATGTATGTATGTATGTATGTGTATATAATATAATATAATATAATATAATATAATATAATATAATGTATGTATATAATATATATATGTATATAATATGTGTATGTATGTATGTATGTATGTATGTATATGGATATACGTGTGTGTGTATGTGTGTATATAATATAAATATAATATAATATAATATAATATAATATGTATGTATGTACATGCATCATCGTACGTATGCTATGTATGTATGTATGTATGTATGTGTGTATGTGTATGTATATAATATATGTATATATAAATATATATGTATGTATGTATGTGTGTGTGTATATATGTATATAATGTATATATGTATATATAATATAATATATATATCATATCATATCATATAATATATGTCTACTGTGTATACATATACGTATGTATGTAATATAATATAATATAATATAATATATGTATGTATTATAATATAATGTAATGTATAATATAATATAATATATAATATATAATATAATATATATATATAATATATATATATATGTATGTATATATGTATGTATGTATATATGTATATGTATATAATATCTGTGTAATAATAATATGTGTGTATGTATATAATATAATATAATATATGTATATATAAATAGATATATAATATAATATAATATGTTATAATATAATATAATATAATATATAATATAATATAATATAATATATGTATGTATGTATACATACATGTATGTATGTATGTATGTATATAATATAATATAATATAATATAATATATGTATATATATATATATATATATATATATATATATATATATATATATATATATATATATATATGTATATAATGTATGTATGTATGTATGTATGTGTATAAAAACATGTATATAAATAAAAAAATAAATATGTATATAATACATGTATACATGTATGTATGTATGTATGTGTGTATGTATCCTTGCTGTATGTATGTATCGCCATGGATTTCATGCATCATGTGTGTGTTTCCCATAACCTGAGACATGGCGTTTTTCATAAGAGAATCCAAAAAACATTGGTGCTGGTTTTCAGCAGAAGGATGGGAAGCCAAAAAGGCAACAAAAAAAGAGCCGGCAGGGGGATCGAGCCTTAGAGAACGTCATCAGATTACCGTCAGCTTCCCCAAGACTCGTTTTGGTGGAACGTGGAAATCAGATGCACCGCGCGCGGTGGATCCCCCCGTCCCCTCCGCCCCCCTCCCCCTCGCCTCCCCGCCTCCCAGGATCCCCCCTCCCCACTCCCGGATCCCCCAAAACCTACGTAATAGACGTCGGGCGGGGGGGGGGTTAGGGGGGGGGTTATCCTCTATCCTCTAGTAAGTATCCGACACGCCGAGCAATGTCGGCGGATACTATAACAGTCTATTTGTTCGTAGCATACTTCCTACGGAGGGCCTGGACGTTTCGATGTTTCATGGTTTTGTTTTTTCCTCGGTTTTAACAAAACACACGGCGACAAAACAAATGGAATGTCCCCACAAACCCTGAGCAAAGGCAAGTTCCCAGGAAACCTCGATCGAGAATTCACAAAAACCCAAGACACAACAAAAAAAACAACATGTCGCCCCACAGCAATAGGAGCGAATGACCTGAAACGGAATTAAGTATCACGGGCCATGTAACTTGCAAACTGTGTTCATGTGCATCCATGTGCCCCACAAACGCTCACACCCTGCCAAAAGCGATTTCCGTCAAATTTCCTCAAAAGTGTACATTGACGTTCTTTTCTGCATGTACGGAAATTCCAGTACTTTTTGGAGGGTTCAGGTTGAGCGCAAAGCCTCCTAACGTATTTCGGCAAAGTTCTTGCCCCGCGTACCACCTACCCATACCTACCCCACTCAAACTAGCAAAAAAACACGCGTTTCCGCTGTTCCTTGGAAATATGTGATTTCCGCTCTTCACTGTCAGCTTCATGCGCCAGGCGCATTGCTGCAAGCGCTACCAAATTTGATGCAACAGGGCGCTGAGTTTAGTGGCAACTTCCTTGGCTAGGTTATGGTGTAGCTGTTGGGTTGCAATGCTGGGTTAATTTCTTTGTAATTGTGTATTTTCCTGATCAGTTTTGTTCCGAAAAATCACTGATTATTTCTGCCCTCTTTGCTTGATTACACACAGATCAGCATGTGTATACAAGTCTATTCATGCCACGCCCATTTTTCCGCATATTTATTGGTGTAGTTGTTTGATGGCCAAAACAGGATGATGTTACGGTGAGCTTCCAACTCACCCGCGTCTAGGTGTGGCTTCACACGGTCTTGCATCTCAGAAATCTGGCTGTCCTTAATTGACTGGCTGTGGCGGCACAAGCTAAACCAAAGAACGTTCATGAGTGCACCCTATCCCTGTTCGGAGTTCATTTGTCGTCAACGCAGTGTCAGCCTGTTCTTTGAGACGATTACTCTGCGTCCGTTCAAGATATATTTGACATTCCTTAACTTTAGAGCCTCGCCAAGATTGTACCTGCGTAAAGCCTAGGCAGGGTTTGCGCTGCAGCGTCATTTCCCCCCGAGTTGCCCTTATTTCCGTGCACTTCCCCGCCATTACCCCTTTCTTTCCGCTTTACTACCCCTCAAATCCCATGCGTTTCCCTGGTTTCGTTCACGTGGTATTTTTCATCAAACGGCATACGCCGCTTGGCTCAAGTTTCTTGATTAATAGGGTTCTTGTTAAAGGGCGCGGTGCTGCGGGTTTCGGATTCTGCCTTGAAATAAGCAATACCAGCGCGAAGAAATGAAAGTTAATGATAAGAGTGAACTTTTACATTTTGATGAGTATCATCCAGAAGGAGAAGAAAGTGTTATTTATTCACACACAAAGACAAATAATTCGCTGTATGAAAAATACTACAATCAAGACACTTCACAGTATTTTAGTAGCTGGCTGTGCGTGAGTCGGGGGCTGGCTTCGGGGCTCGCGCGACAACATGACTTGCCGCGCGCTGCGCGTGTGAGCTGCGCGTGAGCTTGATGGGATGCGGCAAGCTTCTGGGCTTTTGGGATCTCCTTTTGGGAGAGTATCACTGGCCTGGGGTGAAGTTGCAGGGTGCCGGGGTGTGACTGAGGGTCAGGGTGTTCTTGAGTTTGGCAGGCTGCTGTCAAGGCTGCTCAGACTCGAGTTCTCTCATGAAATGTGTATCTCAAGTTCGAACTTGACTTTTGTGTTTCGGGTTTCCTTTCGCGTTTGCGTTTGGAAGTGACTTTATTTCGAGTTTCAGGACTTGGGTTCCAGGAGAGCGTGGCCTACCCACTGGCCAAAGGCGCCGGCTTCGCGCCTGGCAGCCAAGATGGCGCATGCGGTGGAGTCATGGACTGGAACCGAACCCTCTTTGAGAAAGTTTTGAGTCTTTTTCTTTGAACTGTTGAGCTTGAAGCCTTTCTTCGGAACTCTTCCAGGGATTCCACGGACTCAGTTGGCATGAGGCTTGACATGGACCTGGCCATCCTGCTGCTGCCCACGCTGAAGAGCTTGCAAACGGTGCTCCGCTCATTTCGTATCGCGAGTTGGCGAGTGCCTGCTTATCAACGCCCGTGTTCAAACATGTGCGTCTCCTAGTGTGCACGCCAACGCTTCGCACAGGCCCTCCGGGGCAAAGGAGGCCGCGCCAGAGAGCGTAGAGCTTAGGGTCAGCAAGTGGTCGCAAGCGCGACGCATTGCATTGCTGTTAGGTGGATGCCGCTGGATGATCCAATTTCCTTTCACATTGCGGTTGCCGTGCTGATTGCCATCAACAGCGTCATTCACGCCCCTGGTTGGCATCGTGTTTGTGTCGACTTAGTGTGTATCATGCCAAGTGTGCAATGAAACAAGGTTGGTGCTCACTTTGTCCACATGAACCTCATTGCGGGTTCACCGACCTTTCAGCCACACTCTTGGAAAGGGCTTTGGGATACTTCTGATCCACGAGAATTGCAGGAGCGACCCCTTAGAAGCCTGGCATCTTACGAGCCAGGCTGGGGGCACCCGTCCTGAGAAGTCTTAACAGTCGTGGCAACTTCAACGCCTCCGGCGCAGACCGCCGACTTCCTGCTTTCTTCTATGTGCCGTACAAGTGTTCCTCAGTACTTTCCTAGTAGTTTGCGAGAATTCACCCAGAGTATTCCTTCAATAGTCCATAGCATTGCCATTAATATATGGAGATTAATATTCCCCCGGAATCATCCTGGTACCACCCAAAACACTCGCCAAGTGTTCAGAATTCCGTTTGTATTCTTTGAGAGTTCCCCCAAATGTTGCCCTAGTATTCCTTTAGTATTTTTGGCACACCCCTAGTATTTTCTCAATTCGCCTAGTGTTTTTGGCGTGCTCCTACTATTTTGCTTTAAACTCCTCCACTAGTAGTCCCTTGTTGTCCCCCCCACGTTGGACTGTATTTAATGGCCTGCGGCCTGGTTCCGCCGCCCCCACACGCCTTAGAATTTCGGCCCGGGACGAGAGAAAGCACGCGATATGTAGACAGACACAGACAGACACAAAGACACGCAGACAGACACGCAGCGGGGGGGGAGGGTCTTCGCGGACACGAAGACAGACGCAGATGCGCAGGCAGACGCAGACAGAGCCAGACAGACACAAATACACAGACAGACACGCGGGGGGGGGGACACGAAGAAAGACGCAGATACGTAGACAGACACAGACAGACACAGACAGACACAAAGAGACAGAGACAGACACGCAAGGGGACTTCGCGGACACGAAGACAGACGCAGACAGACCCAGACAGACACAAAGAGACACAGAGACACGCAGGGGCAGGGGGGGTCTTCGCGGACACGAAGACAGATGCAGATACGTAGACAGACATAGACAGACACAGGGGGGGGCGGAGGGGTGGGGGAAGACTACCCGAAGCCTAGGGAAGAAGCCCGAAAGCACAGGACACGCGCGTTGTTTGGTCCCGAAACAGTATCGGAAGACTAGGAGAAGAAGCCGGAAAGATTGCGGAAATTTACGGGAAGAAGCTTGAAAGATTTCGGAAGACTACGGGAAGAAGCTGGAAGACTACGGAAGACTACGGAAGACTACGGGAAGAAGCCGGAAGACTACGGAAGACTACGGAAGACTACTGGAAGAAGCCGAAAGATTACGGAAGATTACGGGAAGAAGGCGGAAGACCACGGAAGACTACGGGAAGAAGCCGGAAGACTACGGAAGATTACGGGAAGAAGCCGAAAGATTACGAAAGATTACTGGAAGAAGCCGGAAGACTACGGAAGACTACGGGAAGAAGCCGGAACACTACGGAAGACTACGGAAGGACTGGGGGGGGGGAGGTGGGGGAGGGGGGGGGAGGGGTGGGGAAATCCAGAATTCCTGAAATCCAGAAATCCAGAGATCCAGAAATCCAGAAATCCAGAAATCCAGCCGACGTAGAAACCAGCCCCAAGGGCCGCCCCAAGGGACATATAGGTATATATATATATATATCTACATAATCATATTCACATTAAACTTATAGAAAGCATATCAACAAAAGCAACACAGAACACACCGCCCCCATGCCGAAAGCATGGTCCATTCTGGACCAGGCATGGGGTCGGCGGATTCATTGCAGCCGCTGGGGCGGTAGTACTTTTCCACCCGCAGACGAAGACAAATTCTGAAGACGCATTCGCCCAAGGCTCCCAAAAAGCGCGAAGACAAATTTCCCGAAGCCAATTTTTCCGACCCGAAGCCGAATTCTTCCGCGCAGACGAATTGCAAAGACGAATTCCCGAAGACGCACTCCCGCCCGAAGACGAGTTGCGCAGACGAATTTGCCGGAACCAAGCTCCCTCCCGAAGTCGAATTCCTCCAAAGACAAAATTCCCCGAAGCCGAAGTCTCCGAAGCCGAATTTCTCCCGAAGATGAATTGCGAACACGCGCTCCCCGAAGCCGAGCATGCTGACAGCGAGCGTTCGTGGTAATCTCGGACTGCTTTATAAAGTTGCAACGGCGAGGCTTTGATTGGCGCTTTGCAGTTCGGGGGTCCCGCTTGCACCCGGCCGTGGTGGCCCTGTATGAAGCAAAAAGCTGGGCGATGTGAGCGTGGTACATGCTACGAGGCTCAACGGACCCGATCGGGGCCCGAGGTGCAAGCGGGCGCTTGCAGGGCCTTGAAACGCATGCGGGCCTGTGCCAACTCCAGCCGCCCATAGCTCACCGCCGTTTTGCGTAGGATGTCGCCTTATAACTGTATAAAGCAAAGCTGGGCGCTGCCAGCTTCGACGGTGCAATCGAGCGCCGACTGTGCAATCGGGCCCTAATCAGGCCCGATGGTGCGGCTGATTCGAAGAGAAGACAATGGCAAAACCAAGCGTTTCAGGCCCCTATGTTTATATGCCGAAATGTCCCTTCACGACAACTGGTTGGTGAGGCTTGGGCTGTTTTTCCCAACAGCTGAAAGCGATGGGGTCTCTGCCCACACATAGGCTCCGGGTGGTCTGGGGAGGTAAGGTTCCGCGAGGGTTCCGCGAGCAAGTGCAAAAGCTCCGGGAAGTTTCCGGGCTGGGGGGCAAGTTCTGTGAGGGTTCTGGAGGGTTCATGGGGGGGTTACAAGGAGGGTTCTAGGAGGTTCCGCAAGGGTTCTGGGAGGGTGTGGTGCTGTTGGGGATATCGCCTTATTCGGTGGGGACCTTGCGTTTGACCCTCTTTGCTGATAGTGCTGGCGGTGCTGGTGATGTTGCGCAGTGGCCCACAGGGAATTGAACGTGTTGGAATCACTGGGTGGCCCACCCAAGTCCGGATTCGTCCCGGGGAGGGGCAAGGAGGGGAGCAGGTAAGTTTCTTTTGTCCAACACACTGGTCGGCAGATCTTCTTGCGTTTCGGCGCTTGGCACACCTTGGCCACCTTGGGCATGCAGGAACAGATCTCGGGGACCTCCGTTGTTGCAGCCTAAGCCAAGCAATTGACCCCTGAAAATTGCACGTGCAGCAGCACCCCATGCAGTGGATGCAGTGCCACGGGGTGCCATGCGGTGCCACGGGACGGAGGACTCTTTGCTGCTGACACGATCCAATTTCACAGGTCCCTGCCTCAGCCGAACCCGTGAGCTCCAAGCCCCACGTTGGTAAGAACATTAGTCAGGCAAAGCGGAAACAAGCGTTTAAACTGCTCTGGCTTCGTCGGAATTGAGTTGCACTGGGAGTGCTGGAGTTGCTGGGCATGGCCTGAATACATGAATGCAGCTGGTGCCTAAACCCATTGAATGCGCAGTGGCTCAAGGCGGAGCAATGCCATCGTTTTGGGCCTTCGTCCTCGGGGTGAGTGGGGCTTTGGGTGAGATTTCAAATGAGACCGGGTCCACCACCGTGCCGCCTCTCAGCGACTTTCGCTGCGACCTGCTGAGCATCTTCACCCACAGCAGGAGCGGGGCATGTGACTCGTGAAGCAAGTTGCCTGCCAGCGCGCATGTAGTTGATTGCGCTACCTACGGCGCATTTGGTGATGTAGCAGTAGTATCATTTAGGCAATGTTAATGCAACTTTTGCGCAACTGTCAGGGCCTCCCTGCTGCCAAAATGCGCGGGGGGCACCCGCTGCTATGCTGGTGAAACCATTTCCTCTTGTGGGTATGCCCTGGCGCGCTTACGGCATCGTCACATGTGTCGCAGGGCATCTTGCTCCGCGCAGGGCAGTTTGAACATTTGCACTTTGAAGAGAAGGAAAGGACAAACAGTCAGATTGACGTTGGGTTTCTCTTGCAACTTGCAGTCGCCAGGGGCTATGGCACTGAGCACCTTGGAAGACATAAAGCAAAAGCCAAAGCCAAAGCAGTTTTCTAAACTTGTGCCTTTACCAATTCGTGTCTCAGCCTGTTTGTCTGTTTGTCTGGTCTTGTCTTGTCTTGTCTTGTCTGTCTGGCTGGCTGTCTGTCTGTCTGTTTGTCCGTCTGTTTGTCTGTCTGTCTGCCTGTTGCGTTGACATGTTTTCTTGGAGCAAACGACGCCTGTGGCCTTGCTGAGGTGCTGTGCGCCTGTGATTTCGATGTGCAGCCCGGGCGCAACATGCTTCGCCACCAGCCGGATAGAGACGTGTCTTCCTTGGGCCGTGTGCTGCGCGCCAAAGGTCGTCACCTGCTTGTCGCCCTCCTGCAGTCAGAACTTCCCAGCCTGCACCGGCCTCTGACGTCACATCTCTGACTGAATGATGCGATGCTTGGACAGAGCTTCACAGCCTCTAGCCGAACCGGCTTGCATCCCACAGTTTGCAGCCGTCCACTCTGAAGGAGAGGTTGGCAGACAGAATTCGCATGATCACGTGATGTGGTTTGCAGTACTTCAGTACAAGTCTCCAAGATATGCGGCCAAAAGCGCGCGATATCACACTGGCACGCTAAAAAGGAGCCACACTTAGCTGCATCAGAAGGGAGAATCGGGCAAGAGATCGATCCGCATTGGCAAAGCATCCAAAGATATTGAGGCCTTCTGATTACTGCCTTGATGCTTGTCATTTATGCATCTTGGCTGCAGGAACTGCTTGGCCACTTCTGTCGAAACATGTTGCATACAGTCTAAGGTGATGGCGCTTCCATCGGTGCGACGAGCTACGTGCGCGCTGTGTCCCAGTCGGGTCGACCTTGGCTATGCTTCATTGAGATAGGGGAACTTACCAAGTTTGCGCACGGAGGGGAAATACAATTGCAACATGAGTCCATGCAATGCTCGAGTCGTTCTTCTTCTGGAGTCACAGAGGATATCGAGAGTCGCCGGGCATTGACACAGTACAGATGTTTGGAGCGAGGAAGCGCAACTCCAAACACCAGGCATGCCGAAGTTTTGGAGTTACCAAATGAAACCGGAGAGTTGAACGCCCTCGGAAAGCCCTCGGAAAGCCCTCAGAAAGCCAGGAAACCGGCTCTGAGCCAACCTTCTGAAACTTGTGCCGAGTGCTTGGCGCGCCGCTGCGGCGGCTTTCGGCTTTTCCAGCGGGCAAGATCCTGAGTCACAGAGCGCACGGAGCGAAGGGAATTGCCCGGGAGCGAAGGGAACGGCCCGCAAGTGGCGTTCCCAAGGCGTCAAGGCGTCAAGGCGTCAAGGCGTGAGCGTCGCTTCGGCTCAGGCGCATTCGGTCTGGCCAGCGGTGTACCTTCTGCTGCTGGCGCACAGCACCCCGCGGTCTGCTGAGAATCTGGGAATGTGGGCCCGAGTGACTGGGCAGGTTCTGGATTTGGATGTTCTTCCCGGCCCTCTTCGTTGCAGTAGACAGGTACTCTCCTTAAGCGCTCGTGCCGTTTCGGGGATCAGCTTTGAGAAGGGAGGCCTTAAAGTCCGTATGCACTTCAAACATCATTGGGGGGGGGCTGCTCCCCCAACCCCCTCGTTTTTTGTTCTTTTTACAGAGATAAACGCACCCTTAGTTGAATCATCCCTTTTTTGAAGATCATGGGGCGGCTGCCGTTAATGAGATAAATGCACCCCTTGGCTGAATCTGCAATCTATTTCTGTCTGAATGCTTGCACGTGTGTACTTCTGCGAACATCATGGGGGCTGCCGCTCGCCCCCCAACCACCCCCCTGCTTTTTGGAATGAGTACCTTACCTACCTCCTGGCCACCTACCTACCTACGTGCACAAATGCTTGCCAGGATCTGATGATGCAGACCAAAAGTCGCAAAACCCAACAAACCTGTTGCCTACATGAAACCTGCCCCGCTACCCACGACCTGCTGGTGATGCCGGGTTAGTGAAAATTACGTACATTTCGTGAGAACATGCGGTGAAATACGACCAACACATCAAAAAACAAGCACGAAACAAGTCCAAAAGAAATCCGCACCCGTTTCTTGCACACGCACACACTGCACAGACACAGAAAACACACAGTACCGGAGTTGCTGGATCCAGTTGCTGTCCATGCCACTCCACTGTTGACCTAAGCCAAACTATCCGAAAACCGACATTGTTCAGCACAGTCAGATTCGAAGTGGGTTCGAATCCTGCACAGCTTACAGAACTGTGCAAAGCGCAAGTGGAGAGAGCCTCCTGCAAACACTTCTCATTTGCCACGCTGAGGATGCTTTTGACTCAGCGTCAGCGATATCCTGCAGTATTGGTCAGTGTGCGTAGCTCAGTGAGATTCCGAGCACATGGTGTAAGGGCGCCCATCTCAGGCACGTTTGCTGCTCTTCGATGTGATCCATCTAACTTTTGAGATCCCCGAGAACTTTAATTACCAGGCTTGCCAAGCGGCTTGCCATAGGCTTGTCCCTTTGTGCTCATGCGAGTCAGCGTGAAGGCTGGGCAGTATATTATGCTTCACTGGAAGGGTGAATGGCATCCATTCACCTTGACTTCTGCTCCAGAGGTGCAAAGTTTCTTCACGATTTGCATTTTGGCATGTTGGCATTTTGGCATCTTGGCATGGAGTAGACTGGGGTAGCATGGAGTATTCTGAAATTCTGGCATTTGTTTTGGATGGTGTATTTCCCGTCACAGGAGAAGCACCTGACGGTGCACATCCGTGCCAGCTCGACGCTTGACTGGTGCTCGGCACTTCGGCGCCACCTGATGCTGGAGGCACTTGACCGGACATCGCATACTTCCGGACGCATTTATTTTTATTTTTCTTATTCCCGAAAGCATGGCGAAGGGTTCTTCCGCTGGGTTCACTTGAGTTGCTCTCATGAGAGTCATTACAATGTGCCATTGCAAGGAATCATCATCATGAAAGTCAATGCAAGGAGTCATTGCAAGGAATCATCATCATGAAAGTCAATGCAAGGAGCCATTGCAAGGAGTCATTGCAAGGAGTCATTGCAAGGAGTCATTGCAAGGAGTCATTGCAAGGAGTCATTGCAAGGAGTCATTGCAAGGAGTCATTGCAAGGAGTCATTGCAAGGAGTCATTGCAAGGAGTCATTGCAAGGAGTCATTGCAAGGAGTCATTGCAAGGAGTCATTGCAAGGAGTCATTGCAAGGAGTCATTGCAAGGAGTCATTGCAAGGAGTCATTGCAAGGAGTCATTGCAAAGAGTCATTGCAAGGAGTCATTGCAAGGAGTCATTGCAAGGAGTCATTGCAAGGAGTCATTGCAAGGAGTCATTGCAAGGAGTCATTGCAAGGAGTCATTGCAAAGAGTCATTGCAAGGAGTCATTGCAAAGAGTCAAGGAGTCATTGCAAAGAGTCATTGCAAGGAGTCATTGCAAGGAGTCATTGCAAGGAGTCATTGCAAGGAGTCATTGCAAAGGAGGTGCAAGGAGTCATGAGAGTCACGGCTGCAAGGAGCAAGCGCAGGAGTCAAGTGCAAGTTGCAAGTGCAAGAGCCAAGTGCAATTGACTTGCGAGGAGTTAAAATCTCTTCTTAGGGCGGCGGGGTAGCGCCGACGACACTCGACCCTCTGCGGGGATCGGCGTGGTCGAGGTGCAAAAACTCGACCCTCTGCGGGGATCGGCGTGGTCGAGGTGCAAAAACCATGGTTTTTTGCGATTTCTAAAGTTCCCGCGCGACCCTCTGCGGGGATCGGCGTGGTCGAGGTGCAAAAACTCGAGGTTTTTTGCGATTTCTATAGTTCCCGCGCGACCCTCTGCGGGAATCGGCGTGGTCGAGGTGCAAAAACTCGGTTTTTTTTTGCGATTTCTGCAGTGCCCGCGCAACGCTCTGCACGGGAATCGGCGTGGTCGAGGTACAAAAACTCGAGGTTTTTTGCGACTTTTGTTGTTCGAACTGGTCCTCGGGAGTTGTCTCGTGGTTCGCGCGCCTGCTCCCGGGCCGGCGGGTCGCGGGTTCGATTCCTCCCTGGTCCGCGGGCGGGCGTCGCAAGATGCAACTTGCATTTTAAAGCAACTTGCGCAGAGCAACTTGCGCAGAGCAAGTTGCACAGAGCAACTTGCGCAGACCAACTTGCACCGACCAGTTTGCGCAGAGCGCCTTGCCTAGAGCAACTTGCGCAGAGCAACTTACGCAGAGCAACTTGCACAGAGCAACTTGCACAGAGCAGCTTGCACAGAGCAACTTGCAGGGAGCGCAATTTGCACAGAGCAACTTGCAGGGAGCCACTTGCAGGGACCAACTTGCCGGAGCAACTTGCGCGGAGCGACTTGCGCAGAGCAACTTGCACAGACCAACTTGCACCGACCAGTTTGCGCAGAGCACCTTGCCTGGTGCTGTCTCGCGCTTGCTTCACAAATGCTTCGTGGAGGGAAAAAGAACGCATCCTGCAGCGTTGGGCCGACCTCGCTTGCGATGTTATGCTTTCGGGCCAACCGTGGTCTAGTTTTACTTTTCGACATTTGCAAAAATTGCAGTTTCGACATTTGAGGCTCCACAGGCCGCGGAAAGCTCAGAGGTGCTCCGGCATTCCTTGTTGGTTGTTGGACATCCTTATTTGTGTGCAGGGCTCAAGAGCTGAGCCCAACCCGGGCACGACCGTTGATTACGTCTGGCCCTAGCCCTCCAGCTCGTAAATGAGAGTGAGAGACTTAGGAGAAGATTGTTCTGCCCAGCGGCAAGGTGTGTTGCAAGGCATGTTTTGGTTTGTGAAAGCATCCCTTTGCGATCTCAAAATCTTCGTGCTCCGCAGAGGCGCTGCCTGTGAGCGACGGGTCGTTCAAGGCTCGGGATACGCGTCATTTGGCGTGTATGACGTGTACCGCATTGGTGCAGGGCACGGGGTCCTCTTCCAAAGTGGCCTTGGACGTGTCGGTGCGTCAGGCATCGAATTCGAGAGAACACGTCTCAGGGTCCGGCGTCTTCCGGCGTCTTCCGGCGTCTTCCGGCGTCTTCCGGCGTCGTCTGGCGTCAGGTGACACGGGAGCGGACGAAGAGCGTGAATACCGTGAAGACGGAGGACTCCGTCGCTCTCATGGAGGGCGCAGTCCCTTGGAAAGCAACGGAGAGAATCGGAAGCCGAAATGATCGGGGCCCGAAATCCGGCTTTCCCGGAGTGAGTCAGAGGTTTTTCTCTTGCACTTTTTCCCATTGTCTTCATGTTGTTGCATTGCCCCTTCCTTCCGATTTATCCGTTTTCTCATTTCGGGTGCTTCGGGTTCATTCGATTTTTCTCATTTCGGGTGCTGAGAACTTGCCCCCCGGCACGGTGGAGCTGCAGCCGGAGCCCCAAGCCACGCGTGCGTCAGACGCGAGGTCACAAGTCCGAAACGGCTTTTTCGTTTCGGAAAAGGAAAGACAGGCCCTGACCTTTGGCCCTTCCAAGTTAGAAAGATATCTTCAGGTGAAAGGAGACGAAAGGAGAAAGGAGAAGAAAGGAGACAAACGGAGACGGAGGAAAAAGACACGTGGAGATGTGAAGGGCATAAACGAGAAGAGAGGCCCGAATAGGAGATGGGCAGCAATGAAAAGAGGAAGAAGAAGAAGAAGCAGAAGAAGAAGCAGAAGAGCAAACAAGCAAGAGCCAGGAGGAGGAGAAAGGGAGAAGACATGAAGAGGAGTCAGTGATGTCATAGGGGATAAAGAAGGCAAGAAAAGGGAAAGGGAACAAGAGGTAGAGAGAGAGGGAGCAGTGGAGAAAAGTGGACCGGAAGAGAAGGACGCTTGAAGACGGACGGGTCGAATGGGCGGTGAAGTCCGGTGACATGACATGTGCAAGTCACTCAAGTCGCTCAAGTCACCCAAGTCACTTAAGTCACTTAAGTCACTTAGGCTTCAAGGGCCCTTCGGGGCCCCAGCGCAGCGGGTCTGGGAGTTTAAGACGGTCATGGTCGTGGGCGCTGGCATCGGCGCTTGGTACTCGGGCACAGCTGCGCCGTCAGCCAAATGGCGATGTCGCATCGTGCGAGTTTCGCAAGCCTTCGTGTGCGCTTTGCAAGGTCACTCCCTTCGTGTCGATCCTCCGGTCAGTGCAGATGCGCAAGCAGCAACAGCTGCTTCTCAAGGCGTCACGAGGCGACTGTTGCGAGAAGCTTTCCCATGCTAAGCTGCCTGAGCTGCTTGAGCTTAGATACTGAAGCTCCACTTCTTGACCGGCACGCCAGGCGAACGCGACAAGCTAAGTTGAGCTAAGTGGGCCGGGCGTGCAGGCATGATGCTGCCCATGCCATGGTCCCGCCGGAGGTGGGGCTCCCAGGGAGTGCAGCATGTCGTTTTGGCCTTTGGAGCCTCTTGAGATTCAGCAGGTCAGACTTTCCAGACCCTCCAGACCTTGAGACCCTCCAGACCCTCCAGACCCTCCAGACCGAACCTTGAGACCCTCCAGACCTTGAGACCCTCCAGACCCTCCAGACCCTCCAGACCGAACCTTGAGACCCTCCAGACCTTGAGACCCTCCAGACCCTCCAGACCCTCCAGACCGAACCTTGAGACCCTCCAGACCTTGAGACCTCCAGACCCTTGAACCTTGACCCTCCAGACCTTGAGACCCTCCAGACCCTCCAGACCCTCCAGACCGAACCTTGAGACCCTCCAGACCTTGAGACCCTCCAGACCCTCCAGACCCTCCAGACCGAACCTTGAGACCCTCCAGACCTTGAGACCTCCAGACCCTCCAGACCCTCCAGACCGAACCTTGACACCCTCCAGACCTTGAGACCCTCCAGACCCTCCAGACCCTCCAGACCCTCCAGAGACCTTGAGACCCTCCAGACCTTGAGACCCTCCAGACCCTCCAGACCCTCCAGACCGAACCTTGAGACCCTCCAGACCAGACCCTCCAGACCCTCCAGACCCTCCAGACCGAACCTTGAGACCCTCCAGACCTTGAGACCCTCCAGACCCTCCAGACCCTCCAGACCGAACCTTGAGACCCTCCAGACCTTGAGACCCTCCAGACCCTCCAGACCCTCCAGACCTTGAGACCCTCCAGACCTTGAGACCCTCCAGACCTTGAGACCCTCCAGACCCTCCAGACCCTCCAGACCCTCCAGACCTTGAGACCCTCCAGACCCTCCAGACTCTCCAGACCCTCCAGACCTTGAGACCCTCCAGACCCTCCAGACTCTCCAGACCCTCCAGACCTTGAGACCCTCCAGACTCTCCAGACTTTCCAGACCCTCCAGACCCTCCAGACCTTGAGACCCTCCAGACCCTCCAGACCTTGAGACCTCCAGACCCTCCAGACCCTCCAGACCTTGAGACCCTCCAGACCCTCCAGACTCTCCAGACCCTCCAGACCTTGAGACCCTCCAGACCCTCCAGTCTCCAGACCCTCCAGACCCTCCAGACCTTGAGACCCTCCAGACCCTCCAGAAACTCTCCAGACCCTCCAGACCCTTGTTGAGACCCTCCAGACCCTCCAGACCCTCCAGACCTTGAGACCCTCCAGACCCTCCAGACCCTCCAGACCTTGAGACCCTCCAGACCCTCCAGTTGAGACCCTCCAGACCCTCCTTGAGACCCTCCAGACCCTCCAGACTCTCCAGACCCTCCAGACTCTCCAGACCCTCCAGACCCTTGTTGAGACCCTCCAGACCCTCCAGACCCTCCAGACCTTGAGACCCTCCAGACCCTCCAGACCCTCCAGACCTTGAGACCCTCCAGACCCTCCAGACCCTCCAGACCCTCCAGACCTTGAGACCCTCCAGACCCTCCAGACCCTCCAGACCTTGAGACCCTCCAGACAGACCCTCCAGACCTTGAGACCCTCCAGACCCTCCAGACCCTCCAGACCTTGAGACCCTCCAGACCCTCCCTCCAGACCCTCCAGACCCTCCAGACCTTGAGACCCTTGAGACCCTCCAGACCCTCCAGACCTTGAGACCCTCCAGACCCTCCAGACCCTCCAGACCCTCCAGACCTTGAGACCCTCCAGACGCTCCAGACCCTCCAGACCTTGAGACCCTCCAGACCCTCCAGACTCTCCAGACCCTCCAGACCCTTGTTGAGACCCTCCAGACCCTCCAGACCCTCCAGACCTTGAGACCCTCCAGACCCTCCAGACCCTCCACACCTTAGACCCTCCAGACCCTCCAGACCCTCCAGACCCTCCAGACCCTCCAGACCTTGAGACCCTCCAGACCCTCCAGACTCTCCAGACCCTCCAGACCTTGTAGACCCTCCAGACCCTCCAGACCCTCCAGACCCTCCAGACCCTCCAGACCTTGAGACCCTCCAGACCCTCCAGACCCTCCAGGCCCTCCAGACCCTCCAGACTCTCCAGACCCTCCAGACCCTTGTTGAGACCCTCCAGACCCTCCAGACCCTCCAGACCTTGAGACCCTCCAGACCCTCCAGACCCTCCAGACCTTGAGAGACCCTCCAGACCCTCCAGACTCTCCAGACCCTCCAGACCCTTGTTCTTCCAGACCCTCCAGACCTTGAGACCCTCCAGACCCTCCAGACCCTCCAGACCTTGAGACCCTCCAGACCCTCCAGACCCTCCAGACCCTCCAGACCTTGAGCCCTCCAGACCCTCCAGACCCTCCAGACCCTCCAGACCCTCCAGACCCTTGTTGAGACCCTCCAGACCCTCCAGACCCTCCAGACCCTCCAGACCTTGAGACCCTCCAGACCCTCCAGACCCTCCTTGTTGAGACCCTCCAGACCCTCCAGACCTTGAGACCCTCCAGACCCTCCAGACCCTCCAGACCCTCCAGACCTTGAGACCCTCCAGACCCTCCAGACCCTCCAGACCCTCCAGACCCTCCAGACCTTGAGACCCTCCAGACCCTCCAGACCCTCCAGACCCTTGTTGAGACCCTCCAGACCCTCCAGACCCTCCAGACCCTCCAGACCTTGAGACCCTCCAGACCTCCAGACCCTCCAGACCTTGAGACCCTCCAGACCCTCCAGACCCTCCAGACCCTCCAGACCTTGAGACCCTCCACCCTCCAGACCCTCCAGACCCTCCAGACCCTCCAGACCTTGAGACCCTCCAGACCCTCCAGACCCTCCAGACCCTTGTTGAGACCCTCCAGAAGACCCTCCAGACCTTGAGACCCTCCAGGCTCTCCAGACCCTCGGCCTTGAGACCCTCCAGACCCTCCAGACCCTCCAGACCCTCCAGACCCTCCAGACCCTCCAGACCTTGAGACCCTCCAGACCCTCCAGACCCTCCAGACCCTCCAGACCCTCCAGACCTTGAGACCCTCCAGACCCTCCAGACCCTCCAGACCTTCCAGACCCTCCAGACCCTCCAGACCCTCCAGACCCTCCAGACCTTGAGACCCTCCAGACCCTCCAGACCCTCCAGACCCTCCAGACCCTCCAGACCTTGAGACCCTCCAGACCCTCCAGACCCTCCTTGAGACCCTCCAGACCCTCCAGACCTTGACCCTCCACCCTTGAGACCCTCCAGACCCTCCAGACCCTCCAGACCCTTGTTGAGACCCTCCAGACCCTCCAGACCCTCCAGACCCTCCAGACCTTGAGACCCTGCAGACCTTGAGACCCTCCAGACCCTCCAGACCCTCCAGACCCTTGAGACCTTGAGACCCTCCAGACCCTCCAGACCCTCCAGACCCTCCAGACCCTCCAGACCCTTGTTGAGACCCTCCAGACCTTGAGACCCTCCAGACCCTCCAGACCCTTGTTGAGACCCTCTAGACCCTTGAGACCTCCAGACCCTCCACACCCTCCAGACCTTGAGACCCTCCAGATGTCCAGACCCTCCAGACCCTCCAGACCCTTGTTGAGACCCTCCAGACCCTCCAGACCCTCCAAGACCCTCCAGACCTTGAGACCCTCCAGACCCTCCAGACCCTCCAGACCCTCCAGACCCTCCAGACCCTCCAGACCCTCCAGACCTTGAGACCCTCCAGACACTCCAGACCCTCCAGACCCTTGTTGAGACCCTCCAGACCCTTGACACCTCCAGACCTTCCAGACCCTCCAGACCTTGAGACCCTCCAGACCCTCCAGACCCTCCAGACCCTCCAGACCTTGAGACCCTCCAGACCCTCCAGACCCTCCAGACCCTCCAGACCCTTGTTGAGACCCTCCAGACCTTGAGACCCTCCAGACCCTCCAGACCCTCCAGACCCTTGTTGAGACCCTCCAGACCCTCCAGACCCTCCAGACCCTCCAGACCTTGAGACCCTCCAGACCCTCCAGACCCTCCAGACCCTTGTTGAGACCCTCCAGAACCTCCAGACCCTCCAGACCCTCCAGACCTCCAGACCCTCCAGACCCTTGAGACCCTCCAGACCCTCCAGACCCTCGAGACCCTTGTTGAGACCCTCCAGACCCTTGAGACCCTCCAGACCCTTGAGACCCTCAAACCCTGAGAGCCTCCAGACCCTTGAGACCTTGAAGCCCTCCAGACCCTTGAGACCCTCCAGACCCTCCAGACCCTCCAGACCCTCCAGACCCTCCACACCCTCCACACCCTTCAAACCCTGACAGCCTCCAGACCCTTGAGACCTTGAAACCCTCCAGACCCTTGAGACCCTCCCAGACCCTCCACACCCTCCACACCCTTCAAACCCTGAGAGCCTCCAGACCCTTGAGACCTTGAAACCCTCCAGACCCTTGAGACCCTCCAGACCCTTGAGACCTCCAGACCCTCCAGACCCTCCAGACCCTCCAGACCTGGAGACCCTTGAGACCTTGAAACCCTCCAGACCCTTGAGACCCTCCAGACCCTCCACACCCTCCACACCCTTCAAACCTTGAGAGCTTCCAGACCCTTGAGACCTTGAAACCCTCCAGACCCTTGAGACCCTCCAGACCCTTGAGACAATCCAGACCCTCCACACCCTTCAAACCCTGAGAGCCTCCAGACCCTTGAGACCCTTGAGACGGTTAGTCAGCCAGGAGCCTGCCAAGAAGAAGAAGGTCGCGTGCTCAGAGTTGGCGACTGCAAGGAAGGCACGGTGTGAGGCTAGCGCAAGCGCCAAAAAGCCAAGCGCACCAGGCGCAAACTAGAGCTCACAGGGCTGACAGGGCTGACAGGGCTGACAGGGCAGGGGCAAGGCAGAAGCAAATGCGGAGTTTTGAAAGGCGTGGACCTGTCTCCCAGCGCGCAAGCCTCGGCTTTTCCACCGCGGTTCGCGGTTCGATGGTTCGACGGTTCACGGTTCGGTTCGACTGCACTTTTCCAAAGGTGCTGGGCAGGGCAGCCGAGCCGAGTGAGTCTCGGCCCCAAATGAACGTCTCAGTGAGAGCACCACGGCACTTCTCCAGGCGCCCCAAACGGGCAGCTCCCTCGAAGGCCGCTCCCGCAGAGGCTCTTGCGCTCCATAGAAATCGCCGCGTTGCCGTGTTTGTCACATTGAGGTAGACACGGTCTGGACCTCGACGCAACCTCAACCTTGCAACCTGCATCCAGCCAGTGCGAGGATCAAGCTATGGTGGAGCGCCTAGTCAAGGAGGTGAGCTGGGCTTGTTGGGCTCTGACTTGGTCTGCGAATGTCTGCGATTGGGCCAGGTCATTCCAGTTCCAAGCCGGATCCATTTCTACTGGATCGTGCGCAATCAGCAGGCAGCGTGCAAGCTTGGCCCCAACGCCGCTGCGGCACAGCGCACAGGAGTTGGACTGGTTTTACGACTTGCTGGCCACGGCAGTGGAGGGTCCAGCAAAGGTGGGGAAGATCAGAAGGCCGCAGGGAACCTGCGCCACATCGCATTGAGGAGCTGGTGGAGGTGAACCTCTTCACCACCGGCGAGGCTGTGATGGCTACACGAGTCGCACGAGTCGCACGAGTCGAGAGAGAGAGAGAGAGAGAGTGGAAGAGAGGGAGTTAAAGAGAGAATTGGAGAGAGGGCAGCGTGAGAGTGGAGAGAAGTCAGAGAGCAAAGAGAAAAAAATGAGGTGGAGCTTGCCGCGGTGAAGGAGCTGAAGTGCCTGGCACTCAGAGCCGAAGAACCCGTGAAGCTCTTCAAGCCTGAGGCGTGCACCACCAGTACTTCGGGCGCCCCAACTGGGGCCGCATCTTCAAGGGCTGCAAGGCACGCGACCGCGACAGCGACCGCGACCGCGGCGACATGCTGCGAGGCCACCTTCGGGATTTAGAATTTTGCCGAGGCCCAGCATGTGGGGGACCACATCGGCGTGTTCCTTTGTGGCTCTCCCGTCATTGGCGAGGAGTTGGCGCGGCAAAGCCTCGACCCCAGGGACCAGCTGTTTCCTTTGGTTTCCTTTTGTTCATTTGACTTCATGGCCCGTGGGAAAAGGGTCCGGTGCCTTTAGGTACGAAGCACAGTGACCCCGAGCAGCCAAAACCTTGGGTACTGGGCGCAAGAGAGCGACAAGCATTGCACAATTGAGGCCCAGCCAGACCCGTTTCTCCTTCTTCAAGGCCGATGTGACACACGCTGACTTTCTCGTTTCTCTGGATCTCAGGAGCATTTCTGAATCTCTGAGCAGCCGGCAGCTTTCGTTGAACGCCCTCGTGCTAAGCACCGGGCATAGATTTCAGTGGGATTGGCATGGGCGTCCAAAGGTGCGTGACTGCCCAACTCATCTTGAAATGGCTCCGTCTCTTCGTTTCTTCTCTCCGCTTTGCCGAAGCACGATATGACTCAAAGGATTCTTGCGGTCATTTCCATCCAAACTGCAGTCTCCAAATGGGTCTTGGCAGGATGCGGCTTTCGTGTGCATGGCATGGCATGTGCCTTTCGAGACCGCGCAGGACTCGGCCACTGCACGGCGCCTGCAGAGACCAGCCGCTGCGGACTGCTGGACTGCCTTCAGCGCTGCGAGGCACGGTCGATGAGTCGATGAGTCGATGAGTCGATGAGTCGATGAGTCGATTCCCATTTTCGTGACCTTCAGAATTTCAGGCTCTGGGATCCAGATGCTCTTTTGCGTCCTTCCTGGATGATGCCTTGATTCGAAACGTGGAGCCTGGCCTTTGCATGCTCTACTCGAGGTGTGGCGCCCTGAGGTCTGTGAAAGCTGGTGCTGCCACCTTTGTGCGGGATGCCGATGAAGCCACTGTACCCGCTGTGCCCGAGAACCGGCTGGTGACGATCTCAACGGCGAGGACGGCGCAAGCGGCTTTCGCCCGACTGCAGCTCTGCGCGCTGTCGGTGGAGGAGACGTGCGGCGCGCGCGGCCTCTTCGAGGTGACCTTGGCGAGAGGGAGAGATGTGGACTTTCCGCGGGGCGAGAGCCGCAAGATCCTTAGCGCGTTGTCGGTGCTGCGGGTGACCCTGGCTCATGGCACCCGCTTCCTTTGCACGGAGCCAGGTGCCGGTGCCGGAGGTGCCGGGGGTGCCGTGGCCCTGTCAGCCAGGCCCTGTGTTTGGGACCTGCTGCGGGCTGGCGAGAGCCGGCACAGCCGCCCCCGCAGCGAGCCCTGCGTGTGGCTCCGCGCGACGGAGGACACGGACGGCACGGACGGCGCGGAGGACGCGGAGGACGCGGAGGGAGACGCGGGGGGCGTTGGCACCGGCGAAGGCCCTCGGCCTCGCCCGCCGCAGCGGGGCTTGTACCTGGCAGTGAGCTCGGCTCACTCGGCTCACTCGGCTCGCTTGGCTCTAGTGCCTTGGCGGGTATTGTCGAATGTGTCCGGGTGCTGGGCATTTGGCTACGAGCAGGCCTGGATCCACCACCACTTTCTAGGTCGCGAGGACTTCCGCCTAGGATCACCACTGATTCACCCCATTCACCCGATTCCACGGGTTTGGCTCATGGCTTCAGCCATGTACGCCCAGACCTTGCAGAGACTCCTCAAAAGCTTTGAGGATGCCGGCGAGCCTGTGCACATAGTAGTGAGGTGGGTGCCAGATCTGAAGGATACAAAGCGGACCGGCTTCATTCTCACTGGATCCGTGCCACAGGCCCTCAGGGTGTATTTCTTCAATTATCTCAAGCTCTTGTTCATATTTGAGGCTCTTCTCGATGCTCTTCTTGATGAATCGAGAATGGTGATTGTCATGGACCTCGACGTGCAAGTGCAGCGTGGCCAGAAGACCTTGCCCGGGACGAACGCTGATTGTGGTGCAATCAAGCTGGAAATAGACAAGAGAAAGGCCCATGTTTTCAACTTCTGTTTCCGTGGAATCGCGTGTTTTCAAATTTGCAGCTGGCTTTTAAAATTTTAGCTTTTGAGAGTCGTTTTTTGGTCTTGACAAATTTATTTACACGCTGACGCGACACAGCCGGCCACCGGGCAGCCCGTTCTGTCACTTCCCTTTCCTGTAAGTCCAATTAGTAGATGTTAAGATTTTAAAATTTTAAAAACTTTGAGATTCTAAGGGTCTCAGATTTGAAGACTTTCGGAATTTAAGGTTTCAATGGTTTAAGAATTAAGGTTTTAAGATTCAAAGATTTAAGGTTTTTGAAGGTTATAACAGCCAGGCCATTGCCCAGCCATTTTCCATCCATTATCAGATTTCGAAGGCTTTAAGATTTTATTTTTTGTGAGATTTTCAGATTTGGTGACTTTCGGAATTTAAGATGTTAAGATCTTAAGATGTCAAGACTTCAAAATTTCAAGATTAAGAGTTTAAGGAATTTAAAATATAGCCCGGATTGAAGGAATTTTATTATATTTTACTTGTTTATGAATTTAAGATTTTCAGATTGCAATAGTTCGAGATTTAAAGAATTTAAGTGTTTGAAGCTTTTAAGATTCTGAGATTTTTAGATTTTGAGAATTTAGGAATTTCATATTTTAAGATTTTAACATCTGAAGATTCAAAGACATGAGGGTTTTAAGAAGTCAAGATTCGAAGACTTTAGGATGTTTATATTTTCAGGCTGTAAGATTCTAACTTCTAAGGTTGTAATTTTAAGATCTTAAGGTTTCAAGATTTCAAAATTTCAAGATTAAGAGTTTAAGGAAGTTAAAATATAGCCCGGATTGAAGGAATGTAATATTTTAATAATTTAAGATTTTTAGATTTCAATTGTTCGAGGTTTAAAGAATTTAAGTTTTTAAAGCTTTTTAAGATTCTGAGATTTTAAGATTGTAAGACTTTAGGAATTTCATATTTTAAGATTCTATCACTTAAGGTTTTTAAGATGTCAAGATTCGAAGACTTTAGGATGATTTTATTTTTTCAGATTTTAAGATTCTAGTTCTAAGATTTTAAGATCTTGAGATTGATTGTTAGATCTTAATTTAAAATTTTAAGAATCTAAGACTTTAGGATTTTGAGATTTCAATCCAGTCCATTTTCCATCCATTTTCCATCCACTTTAAGATTTTCAGGTTCGCATCCCCGCATCGCCAGCATGCATAACATCACCCGCATCATCCGGGATGATGCTGGTAATGCTGGGGGTGTTGTCCTAGAAAAGCATTACGAAGCTAATATTAGTTAAAATCCTTGATGAGAGAGAAATGGCTTTCGAGCGGCTTTATTGCTTACCTCCAATCCACGAATCCAGAAATGAGGATAGAGGATTGGTAAGGTGTAGCAATTAACCCTTCACACGTCACTTTGTTCCCTTCCTTCGTTCCTCCACTTTCGGATTCTCTTTAATTGCGTTTAGCGTTGGAGCGTGACTGTGGCAGCCTTCTCCCTTCCCTTTCGCCCTCGCCCGTTCAGCCCTGTTCCTTACCAGCCTTCTTTCTTTCCCTTTTTTCTTGTTCTTCTTCGTTTCTGTTCTTTCCTTTTCCTTTCTGCTGCCGGCGCGCTCCTTTGGTTGGTGCTCGCTGTCGAACGGGGCCGTGACAGAGCTTCAGCGCGGAAAGCTGTGCCCAGCAGGTAGTTGAGCACTCTCGGCCTCCTCAGCTCAGGGGCTGTAGTGGCATCACACCCGCTCAGCATGCGAGAGGGGCTGGGTTCAATCCCCGGCCTGTCCATGCTCATGTGCGCTTGCGTCTGTCACCGTTTGCCTATCCCTGGTCTTTCTCCCTTTGGGTTTGCTGTGCAACTTGCCAACGGCGGCTGCTCCGCCGCGGCCGGGTGCCGAACGCCACTTTTGAATCCTATATAGAAAGTAGAAAGTAGAATAGAAAGCTATCGGTCCCCAGGGCGCAACCAGCAAGAACAGCTTCGCGTCCAGCGCGCTGGGAGGCCGCGCTCGCTTCGCCGCAGCGAGCACGAACCAAAGAAGCAGCCTGCTTCGCCGCGGCCGGGCGCCTAACGTCACGTTTGAGTCCAAAATGCAGCAAGGCTATCGGTCCAGAGGGAGCGGCCAGCCACAAAAGCTTCGCTTCCCGCGCTTTTCCAGGCCACACTCGTTTGTCCAACCAAAGGAGTGCGCCGGCAGCAGAAAGGAAGAAAAGAGGCCGAATGGGCGGGCCCGCACTCGTGCGCTGGCAGCAGAAAGGAAGAAAAAAGGCCGGACGGGCGGGCCGTGACAGAGCTTCAGCGCTGAAAACTGTGCCCTGCAGGTGCTTCAGCGCTTTTCCAGGCCGCGCTCGTTTGCCCACAGCGAGCACCAACCAAAGGAGTGCGCCGGCGCGCTGGACGCGAAGCTGTTCTTGCTGGTTGCGCCCTGGGGACCGATAGCTTTCTACTTTCTATATAGGATTCAAAAGCGACGTTCGGCGCCCGGCCGCGGCGAGCAGCCGCCCTTAGGCATGGACAGGCCGGATTGAACCCGGCCCCTCTCGCATGCTGAGCGGTGTGATGCCACTACACCAACTGCCCCTGAGCTGAGGAGGCCGAGAGTGCTCAACTACCTGCTGGGCGCAGCTTTCAGCGCTGAAGCTCTGTCACGGCCAGCCCGTTCGGCCTGTCACTCGCTTCGCCGCAGCGAGCACGAACCAAAGGAGTGCGCCGGCAGCCTGCTCCGCCGCGGCCGGGTGCCTAACGTCGCGTTTGAGTCCAATATGCAGTAAGGCTATCGGTCCAGAGGGAGCGGCCAGCCACAAAAGCTTCGCGTCCCGCGCTTTTCCAGGCCGCACTTGTTTGTCCACAGCGAGCGCCAACCAAAGGAGTGCGCCGGCAGCAGAAAGGAAAAGGAAAGAAACCAAAGGAGTGCGCCGGCAGCAGAAAGGGAAAAGAGGCCGAACGGGCGGGCCCGCACTCGTTTGCCACCAACCAAAGGAGTGCGTCGGCAGCAGAAAGGGGCGGGCCGTGACAGGGCTTCAGCGCTGAAAACTGTGCCCTGCAGGTGCTTGAGCGCTTTTCCAGGCCGCACTCGTTTGCCCACAGCGAGCACCAACCAAAGGAGTGCGCCGGCAGCAGATAGGAAGAAAACAGGCCGAACGGGCTGGCCGTGACAGAGCTTCAGCGCTGAAAGCTGTGCCCAGCAGGTAGAGCACTCTCGGCCTCCTCAGCTCAGGGGCAGTTGTTGTAGTGGCATCACACCCGCTCAGCATGCGAGAGGGGCCGGGTTCAATCCCCGGCCTGTCCATGCCCATGTGCGCCTGCGTCTGTCACAGTTTGCCTATCCCTGGTCTTTCTCCCTTTGGGTTTGCTGTGCATCTTGCCAAGGGCGGCTGCTCCGCCGCGGCCGGGTGCCGAACGTCACTTTTGAATCCTATATAGTAGAAAGTAGAAAGCTATCGGTCCCCAGGGCGCAACCAGCAAGAACAGCTTCGCGTCCAGCGCGCTTGGAGGCCGCACTCGCTTCGCCGCAGCGAGCACGAACCAAAGGAGTGCGCCGGCAGCCTGCTCCGCCGCGGCCGGGTGCCTAACGTCGCGTTTGAGTCCAATACGCAGTAAGGCTATCGGTCCAGAAAAACCGGCCAGCCATAAAAGCTTCGCTTCCCGCGCTTTTCCAGGCCACTCGTTTGTCCACAGCGAGCACCAACCAAAGGAGTGCGCCGGCAGCAGAAAGGAAGAGGAAAGAAACCAAAGGAGTGCGCCGGCAGCAGAAAGGAAGAAAAGAGGCCGAACGGGCGGGCCCGCACTCCAAGGTGCTTGAGCGCTTTTCCAGGCCGCACTCGTTTGCCCGCAGCAAGCACCAACCAAAGGAGTGCGCCGGCAGCAGATAGGAAGAAAACGGCCGAACGGGCTGGCCGTGACAGAGCTTCAGCGCTGAAAGCTGTGCCCAGCAGGTAGTTGAGCACTCTCGGCCTCCTCAGCTCAGGGGCAGTTGGTGTAGTGGCATCACACCCGCTCAGCATGCGAGAGGGGCAAGGTTCAATCCCCGGCCTGTCCATGCCCATGTGCGCCTGCGTCTGTCACAGTTTGCCTATCCCTGGTCTTTCTCCCTTTGGGTTTGCTGTGCGTCTTGCCAAGGGCGGCTGCTCCGCCGCGGCCGGGTGCCGAACGTCACTTTTGAATCCTAGATAGAAAGTAGAAAGCTATCGGTCCCCAGGGCGCAACCAGCAAGAACAGCTTCGCGTCCAGCGCGCTTGGAGGCCGCACTTGCTTCGCCGCAGCGAGCACGAACCAAAGGAGTGCGCCGGCAGCCTGCTCTGCCGCGGCCGGGTGCCTAACGTCGCGTTTGAGTCCAATATGCAGTAAGGCTATCGGCCCAGAGGGAGCGGCCAGCCACAAAAGCTTCGCTTCCCGCGCTTTTCCAGGCCGCACTCGTTTGTCCACAGCGAGCACCAACCAAAGGAGTGCGCCGGCGGCAGAAAGGAAAAGGAAAGAAAAGAAACGAAGAAGAACAAGAAAAAATGGAAAGAAAGAAGGCTGGTAAGGTACAGGGCTGAACTGGCGAGGGCGAAAGGGAAGGGAGAAGGCTGCCACAGTCACGCTCCAACGCTAAACGAACACTCCCCCAGCGCCGTCCCCTTGCAGGCAGGGGGGTCGGCGGATATTGATGTTCAAATTTATATTTGGTCTTCACAAACTCAAGGCAAGTCGTTTCCTCAAGTAGACGAACCCTTCCTCTATTCACCAATCCTCAGCCAATTTCTTTTTGCCTGTCATTGGCTGTATCTTGATTGACTTCTTGAATGGTTGGTCTCGCTTCATCATACCATTTGTTGACTCATCCAAACCACCTCAGGATCTATATCTGGAAAGCTGATGTAGGATGGTATCTCGTCCTCGTCTATCACTCATCATCAAATAAGATGCGTTTTATGAAGGGAACATATAATCGGATCATAAACTAGATGATTATTTGTGCCACCTTCTCTCACCCAAGCATGTTGACCAAAGGGAAAAGACACGATATAAATTCGGCATAATATTTCTGTAATTCAAATTTGCGCTTCTGCTTCATTTGCGTTTGCTATTCACGTTGCTGGCGCCGCGGCACTGGGACGCTGAACTTTATATCCGCTAGCTCTTGCGCCTTAAGATGTTCGCAGCCAAGGCGGCGGCTTTGCAAGCAATCCCGCTGCAAGAAACTCCTCCGCGAGGAGCGCTGCGGAAGGTTCTGTTCGCGCGCAGAGAACGCTTACGCGGGCTGCGCTGCGCAACACGCAAGGATAACAGGCTGCAACGCCTTGAAGCTCTGGGCTTCAGCAAGATCTTCACAAAGCGCAGGGCGAGCCGGGGCCTGCCGCGCAGCACATCTTGGATCAGCCCGATCAAAGCCATGTGTTTGCACTGCGTATTTTCCATGCAGGATGCTCGCCATCAGCATCCCCAGCATCGCCCGAAACACCCGCATCACCAGGCCAAGCCCACAGCCCAAGCCCAAGCCCAACATCAAAAAACAGGCCCGAAAACGCCCTGCTCATGATTCTAGTCGGGGCCTCCAGCGCTTCCTCCGCAAACGCGAGTTCGCAGTCCAGCGAAAGCAATGAGTGTGAAAGTGAATGACATCGAGGAAGAGAGCCAGTGTAAGGGCTGCCGCCCAGTGCCGCCAACCTTTGCTGCAAATAGCGTACCAAGCTATCATTCAAACGGCTTATCATTCAAGCGGCTTGTTGTTCAGGCGGCTTGTCAATCAAACGGCTTATCAGCTCCAATTGGTAAACGGCTCATGATTCAATCCTTGAGCAGCTTATCATTCAAGGGGCTCGCCGTTCAAGCGGGTTATCGTTCGAATGGCTTCGTTCAACTTGCCTCTCAAGCAGCTTCTCGTTCCAGCGGCTTCTCATCTAAGCGCTTTCTCTTTCCAACGACTTATCGTTCAATCGGCTTATCATTCAAGGGGCTCGGCGTTCACGCGGCTTATCATTCAAGCGGCTTGTCGTTCAAGCGGCTTATCATGACATCCAAAATCCACATGTAAGAGTCTCTTGGCATTGACAAAATGAGTGCCAGTGTCCTACTGGGGGTTGCGGGGATACAATTGCGTCGTGAGAGTCCAGGAGAGTCTAGGCTTTGAACAAAATCCCTTTAGGGGCAGTGGGGATACAGACTTCTTGGGTGCATCTTGAGAAGTTCTATGATGAGGATGATGATGCCTAGCATGATGATGATGATGAGGATGATGATGCCTAGCATGATGATGATGATGATGATGATGATGATGATGATGATGATGATGATGATGATGATGATGGTGTGGTGTGAACCATGCTTGAACCACATCAAGCCAGGTGCATGCGGTCGCCTGGAACTCATGGCCGGTGCCAAAGTGTTTTGGCTAAAGTTCCTATCGTTCAAAGGGCAGGAGGCAAACGTGAGCTGCTGCCATTCTGTGGGAGAAAGCTTGACTAGCTTAGGGCCATCGGCTTTGCCAACATGACAGACCAATCATTAAAACCTACTTGCGAAACTAGGCACTTGAGCCATTGCCAAGGACGTGCCTAAACTCGCCCCAAACCCATCCTTTCCGCACCGAAACATTTGTGCAAACTCAACACGCAAACGGCAAATCAAATGCGAGAAGTAAAACGTGTCACAAGTGTCAAGTGTCAGGCAGACGGACGGACCGTCGGAGAGCTTAGCCGTGCCCGCGCATCGCTTGTGTCGCGTTGCGTCCGAGGCGCCGGGGCTGGACCCAGACGCTGCAGCGGTGCCTGGCGGGGCCGGGCACGGAAGGAGCGGAAGGAGCGGAAGGAGCGGAAGGAGCGGAAGGAGCGGAAGGAGCGGAAGGAGCGGAAGGAGCGGAGCTGTGCTTCCTGCAGCAGGCGGCCTTTGGGGACCGGCGCCTACAGCAGGCGAACTCCGGCGTGGTGGTCTTTGGGGGCCGGAGGTCGAGCGTGGCTTCGGCGGTGGCGTTTTTCCAGGCGCTGGCAGCGCGGCTGCAGGCGCAGGAGGTGGTTGCCAGGCTGCTGCCGCACCACGACGCCGTGGCCTTTGAGCAGCTCTTGATGAACTACGTCTTGAACGACATACGCAAATGGAAGGAGAAAGAGAAAGAGGAGAGACAGAAGGAAGGAGAGTGGGAGAACGAGTTGGAGAGGCTTGAAGACTCGACTCCAAGATTGGTCCGGTGGGGCATCTACAATCCGCTTGTGGCGTATGCAGGGATGTTTCTCACGCATGCGGTGCTCACGAACACTGTGCATCATGCCACGGCCTCCAATGTGGACTTGAAGCAAAAGCTGCGTCTCATGGACTCAGCGCAGCTCTTTGTGGCGGACCTCCGATCCTTCTGCCCTGGCCCGCTTCCTGATGGACGCCTGCCTGCTGAACTCCCGCTGCCGGCCTTCTGCTACTACTTCACCGGCGTTGACCCTCACTTTGGGCCCCTCTTAGATCACTTTCGGGTCCACGGCGGCTTCAGCGAGCAGGACAACATGGTGGTCATCGATCATCTGCAGCGCAGGCAGCTTTGTCGGAAATTGGGGCGGGTCCTTCTACATCATCTCTATGCTTGCTTCGGGGATGTGTATGTTGGCTGAAAAGCGTGGGCGTGATGCCGTATTCCTCTTGCGTTTCGGAGAATTCCTGACTCAGCGCTGTATGTACGGTGCTGGTCGCTTGTTTGATGGTGGGACATTTGCCAGAATTTGTTCTAAAGCCGCAGTGAGTTGTCTTCGGTCTTTCACAAAAACCATTTTCCGCCACTTGCTGGCCATGTGGCTTAAGATCTCAACAGCTGCTCTGACATTCTGTGAGCGCATCTTTACGTTGAAAGAGCCTTCTGACATACTCCTTTACGAGCTTTCCTTCGTGCCCAGGGCAGCTGGGCGCGCCTGGATCCAAATGGTGATTTCCTTCAACGAGGGAGCCTACAAGCGCTGGAGGAGCTATCGCAAGAATTCCACGGCTGCCATGGGGGAAGTGCTGTGGACGCCCAGTTTTTAGAGGATGTGACAGCAAAGACGTGGACGAATGCAAGCAAGTCGACTGGCTCTTGATGCTGGTGGCCGGCACGAACTTGGATCTTGGTTCTTTTGCGCTGCAGGAGGTGCATGAGGTGCATGAGGCGAACGAACATACACGGGAGAGTTGAGTGGGCACGCGCATGTGCACGCAGCAGTCACCTTGCACTGACATCTCTGGACTCCAAGTCTGGTGGATATCTGGATCTTGCTTGTCACCGAAGGCGAGGGGAAAGAGGCCGTGAAATCAGATCATTTGCAGATTCCAAAACCGGGTGGGATTCCACAACTAGGCTTCCAAAACTAGGATTCAGCAACTGGTTTAACAGGCTTTGGTGTCAACGAAGCGCCAGTGCTGCCATTTCGCTGGTGTTCTTGGCGGGTGTAACCTTGGCTGCTGGCAAGAATCCCTTTTAGGGTTTCTTCTGGGGGACTCCTTTAGGGTTTCTTGTGGCGGGCATGACCAATACTGCCGGGCGGTTTCTTTTAGGGTTTCCTGTGGCGGGCATGGCTCTTGCTGCTGGCCGGTTCCTTTTTCGGTTTCTTCTGGCGGCATGACTCTTGCTGCTGGCGGGTTCCTTGCAGGGCCGGTTCCTTTTCGGGCTTCTCGTGGGGGGCAGACTCTTGCTGCTGGCCGGTTAATTTTAGTGTTTCTTATTGGGAGGCATGACTCTTGGTGCTGGCCGGTTCCGTTTAGGTCTTCGGGTTTCTTGTGGCGGCTTGACTCTTACTGCTGGCCGATTCCTTTTAGGGTTTGTTCTGGCGGGCATGACTCTGGCTGCTGGCCGGTTGCTTTTAGGGTTTCTTGTGGCGGACATGGCGCTTGCTGCTGGCCGGTTCCTTTTAGTGTTTCTTATGGGGGGCATGGCTCTTGTTGCTGGCCGGTTCCTTTTTTCGGTTTCTTCTGGCGGTTTGACTCTTACTGCTGGCCGATTCCTTTTGGGGTTTGTTCTGGCGGGCATGGCTCTTGCTGCTGGCTGGTTCCTTTTAGGGTTTCTTGTGGCGGGCATGGTCTTGCTGCTGGCCGGTTCCTTTTAGGGTTTCTTCTGGCGGGCATGGTTCTTGCTGCTGGCCGGTTCTTTTTAGGGTTTGTTCTGGCGAGCGTGGCTCTTGCTGCGGCCCGGTTCCGCTTACGTTTTCTTCTTGCGGGCGTGACTCTTCCTGCGGGCAAGGTTGCCTTTAGGGTTTCTTGTGGCGGGCATGACTCTTGCTGCCGGGCGGTTTCTTTTAGGGTTTCTTGTGGCGGGCATGGCTCTTGTTGCTGACCGGTTCCTTTTTTCGGTTTCTTCTGGCGGGCATGACTCTTGCTGCTAGCCGGTTCCTTTCAGGGTTTCTTGTGGCGGGCATAGCGCTTGCTGCTGGCCAGTTCCTTTTGGTGTTTCTTATGGGGGGCATGACTCTTGCTGCTGGCCTGTTTCGTTTAGGTCTTCGGGTTTCTTTTGGCGGGCATAAGTCTTGCTGCTGGGCGATTTCTTTTAGGGTCTCTTGTGGCGGGCATGGCTCTTGTTGCTGGCCGGTTCCTTTTTTCGGTTTCTTCTGGCGGGCATGACTCTTGCTGCTAGCCGGTTCCTTTCAGGGTTTCTTGTGGCGGGCATAGCGCTTGCTGCTGGCCAGTTCCTTTTGGTGTTTCTTATGGGGGGCATGACTCTTGCTGCTGGCCTGTTTCGTTTAGGTCTTCGGGTTTCTTGTGGCGGGCATAAGTCTTGCTGCTGGGCGGTTTCTTTCAGGGTTTCTTGTGGCGGGCATGGCTCTTGTTGCTGGCTGGTTCCTTTTTTTCGGTTTCTTCTGGCGGGCATGACTCTTGCTGCTAGCCGGTTCCTTTCAGGGTTTCTTGTGGCGGGCATGGCGCTTGCTGCTGCCCGATTCCTTTTGGGGAATCTTGTGGGGGGCATGACTCTTGCTGCTGGCCGGTTCTGGCGGGCATGGTTCTTGCTGCTGGCCGGTTCCTTTTAGGGTGTCTTGTGGGGGGCAGACTCTTGCTGCTGGCCGGTTCCTTTTAGTGTTTCTTTATGGGGGGCATGACTCTTGCTGCTGGCCGGTTCCGTTTAGGTCTTCGGGTTTCTTGTGGCGAGCATGGCTCTTGCTGCCGGGCGGTTCCTTTTTTCGGTTTCTTCTGTCGGTTTGACTCTTACTGCTGGCCGATTCCTTTTAGGGTTTGTTCCTTTTAGGGTTTCTTGTGGCGGGCATGGTCTTGCTGCTGGCCGGTTCCTTTTAGGGTTTGTTCTGGCGGGCATGGTTCTTGCTGCTGGCCGGTTCCTTTTAGGGTTTGTTCTGGCGAGCATGGTTCTTGCTGCTGGCCGGTTCTTTTTGGTGTTTCTTGTGGCAGGCGTGGCTCTTGCTGCGGCCCGGTTCCGCTTACGTTTTCTTTCTGGCGGGCGTGACTCTTCCTGCCGGGCGGTTTCCCTTTAGGGTTTCTTGTGGCGGGCATGGCTCTTGCTGCCAGGCGGCTTCTTTTAGGGTTTCTTGTGAGATCAGGCAAGCAGCACATGTGACGTGCTACAGCTAGCTCCCGAGGAAGACTCCGCCTTTGCACAGAGCACCACAGAGCACCACAGAGCGCCCCAGAAAGAATCCGCCTTTGCACAGAGCACCGCGGAGCACCAGACATCACCGTAGAAGTCTTTGGTGTAGAAGAGGATGTTAAACTAGTTTTTGAATTCTGGTTTTCGATTCCTATCCGGGTGGTTTTGGAATGTTATGGCGCCTGGTTTTGGAATGTTTTTGCGACCCATGAAATCACAGCTTGGTCTCATGCCATTTGGCCGATGCGCACAAGGCGTTGGGCTCGAAATGGCGCTGGTTAGTCCGAGTCCCCAAGGCTTTGGCGTCGGAGTCCCGCTGGGATTCCGACGTCGATTCGATTCGCGTTCGCCTTCAGCGCCTTGGGCGCCTTCGGCGCTTTCGGCGTCTTCGGCTATCGCTTTGGCGATTCCTGGCACTTGCGCTCTCCGCGCTCTCCGCGCACTCCGCGCGCTCCGCGCGCTCCGCGCCCGGACGCTGACACGGACGCGCGCGATGAGGCGGACGACGCGGCGGGCGGGTCGCACGGAGCGGTTCTGGAGGAGTTTGGATGTTCGATCCTGGGTGAGCGGTATCCAGGATCCCAGCATCCCCGCGCCCGACTCCACCCGAGCGCGCAGAGTATGCATTACAACGTCAGAGGCAAAGGGCTTTCAGATTTCACTCTTTTTGCTCTGAATTTTGTTTACCACCGCCCTCACTTTTGCTGGGAAGTCAGGGCTGCTTCGCATTGTTTAGTTGTTTGCGTTGTGTGCAAGCTTGTTTGCGTTGTCGCTTTCGAGTTTGGCAGACATCCAACAACAACCCTGGGGCTGCCACATTTAATGCCCGGTCATCGAGAGCAAAAGAACGAGCGTAGGAACCCAAGCGCAGAGCCCGCTTTACATTTACAAGCTTCCAAATGCAGGTTTAGTGATCAACATTTCAAACTTGTGATGCAGCTGGCGCAGGCCGAGAGAGCTGCCTGCGTGCCAAAACAAACGCTGATGCAGTTCACCTTCTGACTTGCAAAGCACAAATTTAAGCAGGCTGGCTGCGTAACTCAAAGCGTGCAGACACATAAGAACGAGTCCTTTTCAGCCTGATTTAGATTGTGTAGCTTATTGCTGGCTGGAGGTGGAGGAGTTTCGGAAGAACGGGGTGGTCTTGCTACGCGGGGTGCTGAATGACTGGGTGCCGTATTTGAGGGAGGTGACTGAGCACCAGATGGCGCACCCACAGGTCTCGGCGTTTCTGACAGGTTTGCGCACCTTCTTCTCCATGGACTACGTGCAGGCGGGCCTGTTCCTCACGAACAACCGGTACCTGGACTTTTGGATGTCCTCCCCCGTGGCAGAGCTGGTGGCGGACTTGAAACAAGCGCAGGAGGTCCGCCTGATCGTGGACCAGCTCAACGTGAACCCTCACTGCCCCATGCCTTACCCTCAGCGCCGACCGGAGTGCGCTGCAGAATGTTTTTGTTTCTCGAGATGCATGCTCGTCAAGGTTCACCGACCCAGAGAAGTTTCACACAGATGCGGCGTGCTTATTAGAGTGGCTTGCATTTTGCTTGGGTTTATATAATGCTATGGATAGTGGGACAACCCAAGGTCGGGGTGATTTCAGCCGTTGCGGAGCCAACAGACGTCGTGAGGGCGTGGATTCCCTTGCAGAAGCCAAGACAAGGCCTTGGTACACTGGAATTCCAGTTGCCTCACGAGCGGGTGTGCTTCGACACTGTTGAAGCTGGTGATCTTGCTGCTTGCTCTGCAAAAGGGAGAAGTCCAAAACAAACCAGAGTCGAAGAGTGCCACACGAGTCTGTGCCCAATAGCGCAGCATGCTGCGCATCCTCTACATCTGTTGAACAATGTTGAACATATGTGCAGCATCAGCAAAGTTTGGTCTCGAGGCTTTGTTTACCCCGACGATCCCTCACCGTGTGATCTTCCCACCAGACGGCGTCTATAGCCAAGACAGATGTGTGGTCATTGCCTCGCTGCATGCATCAAGGGGTGGGTTGCACCCAGCAGTGGCTGGGCTGCGCTTGGCCCCGTAACCGCTCCGTTGACCAAAGCAAACGCCTTTCTTCGCTCGAATAATGTTTCTCTTAGGCAGTGCCGGAGTTCCCCCGGATCTTCCCGGAGCCAGACCTGGCTGAGAGCGAGGTCCGAGCCGCGCAGAGGCGGGTGAAGCCTTGCGTCCCGGAAGCCAAGTGATGTTTCCGAGGCTCTACCCCACCCTGGACCGATACTTCCGGCTCTGGGGCAAGCCCAGTACTCTGCTGGATGCACGGGGCCAAGGATTGCCAGACGGTTTCGTTCCGCTTTAGTTCCGTTTGCAGCCTGAGGAATGGATGCAATTCATTACCTATGGGCAAAAGCGCTGAGCAAAAAAGGAGAGCTTGGGGCCATGCCCTGCGGGGCGACAGTGCCGACGAAAGCATTCGGCGGCCTCTCCAGCTATGCTTGTTGCCACGCGCCAAGTCGAGGTCCAGACCCAACATTCAAACGCACAAGATCAGGGTGCGTAGAGCCAGAGTTAGTAGAGCCATTAGAGCCAGTCAATGCGCTCGATGAACGGTGCCATGGAATTCGATGAATTTGATGCCGCCGCGCTGGAGGTGGAGCTGCCGAAAGGCTTGGTGCTGTGGCCAAGTGCGTTGCGAGATTGTTGTCGCAGGCGACGTCCATGAGGCCGTGCGGCGCACAGAGAAACCGTAAAATGGCGGCCGCAAGACCCAATGGACGTTCAGTGTACAGAGTGACGCATTCAAAGGCGCCAACAACGAAACATGCAAAAGCATTGCGTTCCAAAGGTTACTGTTCTTAGGGCCCACCTGGGCCGGCGGGCTCCGTGCTGGCGCTGCCTTCACACAACGCCGGGGCCCTAAGTAGATCTCAGTCTTGTTTTTGTCTGTTTCTTGTCTCTCTTCTTGTCGACCCTTCTTGTCCCTTCTTTTCTCTGCTTGTTGCTTCTCTCGAATCCCGTGCGTGTTTTTTGCACGTTCTTGTCAGGAGCTTCGCAATTTAGGAGCTTCACAATATCAGGGGCCACAGGAAGGCTGAGCCGTTGAGCTCGTTGTGCCGTCTTCACCGATGCCGAACGTTTTGTTTGGCTCAAGAAAGCTTGGCCCGAGAGCCTCCCAGTGGCGAAGCTGGGAACATCTGATCTCGGGAGAGAGTGCCATGGTTAGTTGGATGGACCCCGACAATGGGGGTGGGGGGCATCACACGATGCATCGGGCGGGGCTCGCGCTTTCGCTCGACTTTTTCCTTGTCGTGGACGGTTCGCCTTTGCGACTGAGCCGGGCCCTTCACTCTTCAGGGCACTTTAAAGGAACTCTGCGCAGGCCTTGGAGGCAAGGCGGGTGCCCGCAGTTGCCGCGATTGACTGCGATGAATTTCTCCTTCCTATCGACCAACGGCATCGACCCACACTGACTTCACCGTGCAGGGGGTGTTGAGATCACAGTGTGCCTTGCCGGCAAGCAGGCAAGGAGGGCCCACGCTTTTGTAGAGCGCAGGGCAAGGCTGACTACAAACTTCGCGCGCAGGCCCTACTCCGGCTCTACGCAGGGCTTATTTTTTGGAAACGACGCCAGGCTCTGGGACTTCGCTCGCTTTTGCCTGGCGATCAGCTGTGCGCGTCAAGTCGGCAGTGGCGGGAAGGACGACAAGTCGGCCGAGAGCTTGGATGGAGCGCTGGCGGTAGCGCCGCGCGCCGTGTGACTGCATGAGCGGCAGCGGAGGTTTTTCGCGCCAAGTTTCAACCGAACGCGCCGCCAGTAACTGGGGTTTGTTGACAACTCGCGCCCTGCGTGCTTGGAGATGCTTCGAGAGGCCCGTGGGCGCGCGCCGGCCGTCGAGTTGCTTGGTGCCATCGCAGTATGCCCGAGGGTTGCGTTGAGATGTCGCCAGTCGCACTTTGTTGTATCTCATACAGCCCGCCCGCTGCACCCATAGTTCCCAACTCTGCCAGCCACTGGTGTAGTAGCCAACGTGCGAACTGAGAGCGCTGGGTTGTGGATGTGTGCGCAGTTGCTACCCTACCTCTCAACAGTTTCGGGCCCGCGCGTGGCGCCCAGGCTCTTTACCTCTGGAAGTGGAAGAGGAACAGCCCAGGCGAGACTTGAAGGGACGGGCAGAACTTTGGAAGGAGACGCAAGCGGTAGCATCCTCAGCCCGCGCACAGGCCGCGTAGCTTTTTCCAAGCAGCTCGCGCGCAGTGTCCAGGCGTCTTGGCCATACGACGCTATTTGCAGCGCAGCTTAGCGATTCCCGAGCTGCAACTCCCCGAGAAGCTTTTGCGCGGGCCAATGCGGCGCAGGCCATCAGCGTGTCTCATGCTCATTGACTGAAAAGGGTGTTGATTTGTGTAGTCGATGGCCCACGATTTGCGGCCTGGCCCCTTGTAGCCTTAGGCGCAGAGGCCTGACTTGGCAGGGGTCACTTGCTTTCACTCCCGCAAGAGCGTGTGTGACTGCTGCCGCTGCGCCTGGAAGATCTCCGCGTTGCAGCGTGCGAGGTTGAACTGGTTGCAGAGTGTCCGCGTGACACGCAGACAAGAGTGTTTTCTGGCAATCCAGCCATCCCGCGTTGAGCCGCGCGAGGGCGTCGCTGCGTAACTCCTCTGTGTCTTATTCCTTCCTCGTTGTGTTTTGTGCTTGACTCTCCTCTGTTGCGCCTTTGTGTCTTCTTTGTCTCTCCTCGTTTTTGTGTCGCTTTTCCTTGGTTTGCCGGTGTCTTCTTGGATTGTCTTGTTCCTTGTTTTGCTTATAGTTCCTTCTCCTTAGCGGTGTTTAACTATTGCGTTCCTACTTCTTCCTATGTCTTCATGATTTCTCTCGTTCATGCTTCTCTTTTCCTCATGTTTCTTGTTTCTTTTACTTGTGTTGTACACGCTTTGGTTTCTTCCTATGTGCTCGGTTCATGCTGGTGCCAGGTGGTGCACGAGCAGAAGGTCTCGCAACCGTTGGGCAGAAGCTCAGCATGGTTGCAGGCGATGAAGGACAACAAATTCAGCCAAGGCTCAGGGATCCAACAGCTAGTTGCTAGGAGCGGGGAGTCTCAGACGCCAACGACATGGGCACAGAGGCCTGATTGGTACAGCAAAACTGACGCGGGTTTGACTGCAGGCGTTTGGAAGGCCCCAGCCAAGCCCAAATCAATTTTTTTAGCGCAGCGCAACTCGAAATGGCCCACCCGCTCAAGGGACTGCGCTGCGCTCGAGCCTTGTGCGTTGACTGAGAGGAGAGAGAGAGAGAGAGAGAGAGAGAGAGAGAGAGAGAGAGAGAGAGAGAGAGAGAGAGAGAGAGAGAGAGAGAGAGAGAGAGAGAGAGAGAGACAGAGAGAGAGGGAGAGGGAGGGAGAGAGAGAGAGAGGGAGATGTCAATCGTGGTGTGGTACATGACCGCAAGCCTTGAGCTGTATCAATCGCTACACGAGCCCATGCAAAAATAGGAGCTGTGCAGACTACAGGTTTGACTGTCAGTTGTGTTAACAACGTAACTGCACTTGCACTTGTAGTAAACTTTGGTTTGAGATTAACGTGGTAGCGGAGCTGAAACGTAGGGGAGCTCCAGCACACAGCAGGAAGTACAACAACTCCAACAGCAACCGCATCCCAAACTACTACGACATGTCAGGAGAACCAGCGTCAGCACCAGCTCAGCGCAGTACCGGAGCAGACAAGGGGCCAACAACGGCAGAGACTGTAGGAGCCACGACTACGGGAACGGGAACAACACAGGAGCAAGACAACGACGTCCAAAGACTAGACGGGTACAAACTGCCACAGCCATTCTTCACTGGTGATTACTCGCAGTGCGGAGAACGGCTGTTCTAGCTACAAGCGTATCTCGGATTCATAGACCGAGACTTCGACGTGGTCCTACAACTAGCACAGGTAGCTACACGACAAATTGAGGACGCAGACATCAGAGCACACATACGCGAGCCCAAGCAAGCAACAAAAGCAGCAGACCTCGCAAGAGATCCACATCACAACATATGCCAAGGAGCAGCAGCTACAGTAGTACGTGCTGCAGCGCAGATGCGTGTGAAACGCTGCGACTTCTGCGCAAAAGGAGCAGACCAGTAGGAGCACGAAGCGTTGGCCGCCTCACCAAACTACTGGAACCTACGTTCAACGGAGCACAGTTCGAACAACACTTCCTACAATGGGAATACGACACCAATCGCTACGAGAAAGACAACGCCGCAGTGCTGCGAGATGGAGTGGAAATTGCAATACTACTCAACAAGACCAGTGGAGCGCTATGGCAACAGCTCCAACTACGTTCTGAACAAGTCACAAACTACAGCCAGACCAGAGCGGTCATCCTGGATTACTACAAGACGATTTCCGCTTTCTCAAGATCGACTTCAGCAGTCGGCGCAAACTATATTGGAAGACCTGCGCCAATGATTTGGAGGCAAGGAAGAAATTACAAAGGCAAAAGAAAAGGAAATGGAAGCAAAGGAAAGGGGAAATGCAGAAACAAAGGGTGCCGCAAAGGATTTGACAAAGGCAACACAGGCAGCTGCAACAAAGGAGGATGCGACAAAGGCAGAGGAAAAGGCTACTCAGTATCCAAGGGTCTATGGATCAAGCAAAGGCTACAAAGGCAAAGGAGTCTACGGCAACTATATGACATGCCACAGATGTGGCAAGGCGCATAGGAGAAGGACATGAATTACATCTCAAGAACAAGCAGGTCAAGACACAAATAGGAACTATTTCAGGAACTGAATGACACCTAGGATGGGTACTACAAAGGACATGGACGTGATGTGAGTTGGAACGACTGACAACAGCTGGGGCTGGAACGACACCATGACGATGCAGGCAGCAAACTGCATTGGAGGCATCAACGAGTCACACCTTGCAATTAAACACATTAGACAAGCAAAGCCGCTGCCATGCAAGCGCAAACCCAGAACAACTACAAGAGAACGCAAAACACCCCTCCAAACAAGAACTACAAAGAAGGCTTGGAGTGACTGGGCTGGAGCAAGCGGATTGCGAAGAAAAGACACCGGCGACAACAAAGTTTAGACCCTCCGGCTCAGTCCGCCAACATTGTCCTCTCCCTTTTCTCCTTCTTCTCTCCCCTGTCTGCCTTGCGTGTTCTGTTGTCCTGTATGTATGTATGTATGTATGTCATGTGTGTATGCATGCATGCATGCATGCATGCATGCATGCATGTATGTATGTATGTATGTATGTAATGTATGTAATGTATGTATGTATGTATGTATGTATGTATGTCTGTATGTATGTCTGTATGTATGTATGTATGTATGTAATGTAAATATATATACATATATATATATGTATGTCTGTATGTGTATGTATGTATGTATGTGTGTGTGTATGTAATGTCTG